CCTGTCCTTTCACCTCGTCTTCATTTGGATCACCAGGCGTGGTAGGGGATGTGACAGGTGGCGTTCCTACTGGAGTCGAACTCGCCGGAGGAGGATTCGGAGTTGGCGTTGGTGTAGATGAGGGAGGAGGATTGGTTACAGGGGTTGATCCAGAAGGAGGAACAGGAGCTGGTGCAGGTGCAGGAGTAGGCGTCTCAGGCGTGGGCTTCCCAGTACCAGTCGGGTTCTTCACAGGTCCACCAGGCGCAGGCGCAGGGGTAGGCGCTGGAGGAGCAGGCAACGCGGGAGCGGGAGGGGCAGGAGAAGGTTCAGGGAACGAATGGTCGAACCACGTTCCGGGTATAAGCGCAATGGGGAGAAGCCACGTCGCCGTCAAAAGTACTCCTTTGCCTTTGCGGCGGTCAGCTAAACGAAGAGGTCTTATAAAGGATAGGAGAACGAACCTTTATCATAGCTCTTGATCTGCTGCCAACTCCAGCTGATAAACGTCCCAACGTATCCGAGGTACGGTGCAAGTCTCTGTATACAGATCGTCAGGAATCCACCCTCGGGCATCGGTAGAGCTGAAGGTAAGCACCTGCAAGAGCAAGACAGTAGGCTGCAAAGGCAAGGGTAGAGCCGTAACAGGTACATTTTGCAAGAACCACGTCAGAGCAGTGGTGATCATCGCTGCTCTCTTGGTCGCCTCGATCGTCTTGTCTGAGAGGATGGCGAGAGTAGGCGGTGGGAGACAGCTGTTGAAGAGTGAATAAGTGGAGATCACAGGTAAAGGAGTAGCAAACTCACAGACGATACCCCCACCAAAACACCTGCACCGTCAGCTTATCCTTGGACGGCGCCCAGGCTTGTTCAGCCACCATCCGGCGCGTCCTCACCACCTTGCCTCCCTTTCTTCGCGCGAATTGAGCATCCGATGTACGTCCTGTAAATGGTCGTGATCAGTATTTTCGCTCCCTTCGAGGTCGCAGAACAAAAGGAAGACAGACCTTGACGTTTATGCAAAGCCCCAGACCCAGCAACAGCCTTGACCGCACTCGAAACGCCACCATTATTCGCAAACGTCGGAGAACCATACGCTGAAAGCGTCGGTGACGGTGTCCTATCATCTTCCTTCTCGTCGCCTTGCACTACACCAGCAGTGGGTTGAGAAGACCACCAACCCAACGAAGGAACCCACCCTCTCCCTTTGCCTTTATCGCTCGCCTTGGGGGTATCCAATCCACTATCGGACCCCACAACCGTCGTCCCTTCCTCGCTCTCCCCAGGATACTCGACACCAACACCATCCTCGAGATACTCGTCATCCTCCTCATCAGCCTCCCACAAAATATCCACAACTTCACCCATCTCGACGAGGTCATGTAAACCCGGTATGAGCGGGGAATAGAGCATGATGCTTCCTCCATCACTAAAGAGGTTTGTTCCTCCCCCTCCTGTATCTCCTTCTCGATCTCCACCAGCAATGGGGCCCCCTCGCTCCCTATCGCCTCCAGCAACAGGCCCCCCTTCCTCACGATCACCCCCAGCAATAGGCCCTCCTCCCAAATCCGGACTCTCATCCTCATCAACAGGCGGCAACGGAATAACACTCCCCGGCGCCCCAGTTCCTCCACTCCCAATACCCGTATACGGCGTAGCAGGTATATGTCCTGTCGTTTGGTACCCTTCCAAGATCTGCCAGATATTTCGTGTACCAGGTGTACGCGGGTGGTGTCTCCTGTGTGGGCTGCGTGGTGAGCGGGGGGTACGAGGGACGGGTGTACGTGGGACGCGTCGACGTTGGTCTGGATTTGGTTTAGGTGTATCCGGAACTGTCGGCTTCTCTTCCCCCTCTTCCACTGGCCCCTTCTCTACAGGCTCCTTTCCTGTCTCCTCATCTCCTTTCTCCTCGCCCTCGCCACCCTCTTCGCCACCCTCACCTTCGCCCTGCTCAGGCAACGGCTGATCCCCCATAACACTCACACTCCACAACAGCTTTACAACGTCCTCATCCACACCCTCTGGTACCGCATCAGCAGGAGGAATCGGACGACCCGTCTTGCTATCCCTCTTTGGTACACGTGGTTTGGGAGGAGGAGGGAGACGAGAGGGGAACGGTGAGCCTGGGTATGTGTCGCCTGGAGTTTCTATCAGGGCAAGTAAATGTTAGCATAACAGATAATAATAATAATAATAATAATAATAAAAGGGTAGATAGGAGACGACGACGTACCAGGCGGATAAGGCGTAGGCGGATACGGCGTCTGCGGAATCTCATTAAAGATCGGAGGCGGAGGAAGCGCATCAATCAACTCTTGAATCCGCTGAGCGAGTGATTCAGGGTCGACCTTGGGCTGTTCTCCTCCTTCATCTATTTGTTTCGTTGGCGTTGCTGAGGCGGATCCGAAGCCAAACATAGGCTTTGAAGAGGTGAGACCGAGGAACGACGCAAAGCTCATCGACGTAGCCTGCGTCGATGGAAGAGCCGCAGTGGGAGCTTCAGGCGAGTTGGGTGGGACGGAGATGGGTGCTATCGCGGGTGAAGCTGCGAATGGATCAACGTATCGAGAAGTTTGGCGTTGTGTTGGTGTTCGAGTTCCTGATCCTGCTGCTGCTCCTAATCCAGCTACTCCTGATGCTGCCACCCCAGGAGGAGGAAGAACACGTTGGGACGGCGGAACACCAGCAGGCGAGTTGACAGCAGTCGTTTCGCCCGATCGCCGCACCCCCTCTTCCTCATCAGAGCTATCATCCTCCTCCTCCTCACTCGAGGAACTCTCGTCTCGATCGTACTCGACAAGCTCGACATCGTCTTCGGCTCCTTCGTCGACCATGCTGAGTAGTTTGGCATGTCGGCCTTGAGGTTTGAGGTTGACTTCCTGCTCCTGAGTTGATATGGAATACGGTGGAGGAGCTGTGGAAGTGGATGATGATGTAGGTGCAGTGGGAGGAGAGGTTTCAGTAGAAGGTCTTGAGCCCATAAAGTAGATGAGCTGGGGTTGTCCCGGTGCAGCCTCCTGTGTCGCTTCTCCTCCTCCCAATGGTGTCGCCCTCTCAGCACCTGCACTCGTGCTACTCTTCGCACTCTGCCCATCCCCTCCTGTTCCCCCTAAGAACGCCCCAGGAATGCTCGTCACACTCCCTGACACTCTATGCCACAAATTCTTCAGCTTGTACTTCGATCGTTCCTTTGACCCTCCAGAGTGAAGCGACGAGGCACTCGTCGATCTTCTGAGCTTTCCTCCTGAGGTAGAACTGCTGCTAGTACTGGATGTCGCGGTTATTGTTGATGCTGCTCCTTCACTTGAGATAGCAGGAGTGGAATCTGACCCCTGAGCACTCGACGAAACAGAGAGATGCGATCGAAGTCTCTCCGCCAACGGTCGATACGCATCGAGGGACTGGCGTCTATCCACCGGTGGTTGTTTTGGTTTAGGCATAGAAGACTTGGATGGGGGTGATGATGATAAGGAGGTCTGAGCTTCAGGAGATGAAGTAGATGCCCCTGAGCCAGAGGTGGTTGAATTCGAAGAAAAGGGAAAGAGTCGGTGCATGATGGATTCTGGGGGGGATGTGGGCTCCTTCAGAGAGCTGGTAAGCTATCTTGAGGGGGAACGTAAGTGCCAGAACGACGAAGGAGCTACTCAGAGCACCACTCACCTAGCAGGTCAGTCTTAACGTAACCCTAGCCGACGACGAACAACGACGCAAGAAGAGAGCGACGACGACGTGGACCTAAGAAAACAACGACGACGTCGAAAAGAAGCCAGAATTCATCCGACAACCAGCAATGGCCTCTGAGAAACGCCGAACAGGAAATAGACGGATGATGGGGATGATGATGCAAGAGAAGGGCTCAATAGGGGTTCTTGGTGTGAATGGGGCGTGGGATGCAGAGGCTGATCGATGATCCGGGTTTTCAGGATAGGGGCTACTTCGAGTTTGACAACTGAATCCATACTTGAAGTGCCTACAGACTGGTGTTAACGGAATGTGAGGCAAGGATCAAAAATTTAGACCACCGGAAGAACACTTCGAATGCAGTGAATCAAACCTCGTGCTGCCGCGCACTCAGCTATGTGAAAGGTGCGATGAGAGGCGGCAATGTTAGTCGTTCCACCATACCCGAACGTCTTACTGCTATGAAAGTGCCCCGGCGAGGCCAGCGACTACTTGACCTTGCTTTAGCTGGACTAACGATAGACTCGCTACGCTTCAGTTTCCAGATCATTAGGCCCATCGACAAGTAACACGGCCCTCGCTGCCGCCCGCCTGCGGCGGGCTTGCGCTCGGGCACACAAAAGAGTGGGCGAGTAATTAGTCAACAGCCTCACTGAGTGATATCAGATGCGGCTAGCAGCATGAACGACGTACCTCCCAACACCGCAATTATCAATATGTTAGTATGTTAAGCAAAAACAAGGGTGGGCCTGAGCTTGAGGATGTCCCGGGCATCAACAAGTGAACAACATAGAAAAGCCCAATTGATTCTTTGACAGAAAGAGGGACATTTATTTACTGCAATGACCAGTTAGTGTGGCACAACAAAAGTATGGGAAAGCAGGAGCACTGGTTGGACATCCAGTGTAGTGATGCAGAGGTTTGGGCGTATTTGTTATCGTCCCCTCAACTTCCGATGGATTGATCGTTACATAAAATTACGAGTTGTAGGGACCTAGCTAAAGCAAGGTCGATAGCACAAGTCTCGCCTCGCTTCGCTACGGCGGGCCGATTCCGATCTCAAATTGCTTTTAATATTCGACGTGAGGATAAGCATTGGCTTGGAAGGCACAATGCAAGTTGTTCCGCTGTTACAGTAAGCGCTTTAAGCCAGTGACCGACTTCACCCATCGCATTCGCCACAAATCAAGTCAGCGCGGGACGACAAACGATATACAGATTGTGACGCGTTGCAAGAACAGGGGCCACGAAGACAATCTTTCATGGAAGTACTGACTGACTGACTGATGTAAGGGGAAACATCTGGCAACTTGTGAAAATGAAACGCCAACAGGCTATAACTCGGATACGAGGATTCGAACCCCGAGCTGGCGCGCAACCAACTATGTATAAACATACAATAACGAAAGGCGGCAATGTTAGCCATTTCACCATATCCGACCGTTGAAGGTCAAAGTGCCTGCACAATCTAACACATATTACCATCTCTGATCTCTGAATCTGAAATGGAGGTGGAATGGACACGGTGGAGCCATGGATGAGCGATGGGTAGACGTTAGACCTGTGGCGAGGCCTGAAATGTCATATTGACCACTCAAAGTGATCGGAACGACTCTGAATTCAGCATACAGAAGAAATTCAAGAGCCTAGGCAGAAGGAACATCGAAATCATGAAACAGCATCAAAAATTAACTCAGAGGCTACACACGATATTCATCATTGTCTACATTGAGGAATAAAGGAAAAGTGAAGAAAGCCGGGGCCGATCCGTGTACTGAAGACGCAATTTGGACTCTCTCTCTCTCGATGGACCGATAAGCTTAACTTATAGGACCCAGATTAGATGATAGACTACATCGCACCCTGGGAGACCAGATTATAATGCTTAGGAGGAAATAATAGCGCTGACTATACACGAGCTCCACTTTACCATCGACTGGTTATTGGCATTTTCTCCCTCATCAGCAGACCACTTCCTGCTACGCACTACTACTACTACTTCCACACCATCATATATCTGGCTCGATAAGGGTTTTCCGAGGAACTATGCGCGCACTGGACGCATACAAGAAATCCAAAGCGAGCAAAAGCTTTTCCAGAAACCAAGCATTATAACATTTGTACAGGGGATCGAACCCTCCACAAAACTTCCCTGGGGAGATGCCACGGTGACGATAGCCATTACACCATGTCCCAACACTGAATTTCTTTTACTACACACCACACGATTGATTCAATTTGAAGTCTCGTGGAGGAATACTTGGATTGTTTTCTAGCTCTCCTGGAATCACCTCACTCTCCTGGAATCACCTCAACCACTACTGACAGCCTAGCGTGGAGCGCAATATCTGTGCCGGCTAGTACGAGTTTCAGGGTTTAAAAGCTACCACGGAAAGTATCTCCTCATCTTACGACTGAGGCAGTCAAATAAAATAGTCTACTCAATCAAGCGTTCCAAATTGCTTTTAGTACCAACTCTGGCGTTTCAAGGCAAAAGCATGGATTCAAGAAACCCCTACTACCGTCACCAATGACAGGCGGTAATCTTGGCACTTACACCACAAGGGTGTACATGTGTCGTGTATATTATTCATCTGTTCTCCGTTGGACACCAACTTTAGGCTCACTGAAACGCCAATTGGAGCTGAGTAGATATTCGGTAACTGTATCCTCCCCGAGCGCCCAGACAGATCTCAAGCCTAAAGGGAGCGGGAAATGGGATATTATTAGCTGGCCAAGAGGATTGAGCTTTCCTATGGAACGACGATAGGGCTGGAATATGAAAGAAGGGTTAGCAGAGCATCTATCTCTGTGTTCGGAATTTTGAATGTCAAATCGTACAAGTAATCGGGAAGAATAGAGACAATAGCTACCTTCTCAGTAGAGGAATCGGAGTGTCAGGACAATTGGGTATTCTGCAAAGTCAAATTCGTCTGGCCTCTTCTGGACCCTGGATCAAGATCGTCGAGCCCCTATCTAAGCCCATCCATCAGTGATTTCTAGAACTCCTAAGTACAAGCGCCCAACCTCCAAAACTCGTTCAGCGTGTTGCTTGGCATCTTTCCTCGCTAGTAAGCCGGTGGAGATTGGCGCGGTGTTCTCTTAGGAGCTCCACAAGTTTCGCCCTCTTTATTTCGAGTACAAGTCGCCAACGTACAGAGTGGGAAGCGAATTTATCTCGGACGAGAATAATGCTTCTCCCCGATCTTGACGCCCACAGGCGGCAACTGGCTCTTCACAGGCTCAAATTCCTACGCAGGGGGTCATTGTTAGCTTCCTGTCTCGTGTAAAGTGGGACACGACTTGTCCTCCATGTATTATTCAGCCCTGCCAACCTGACGTTCTACGAGATAACAACCTAGTATTAATTATTCGCATAGCCAGAAAAACAAAAATCGGCTCTCGCAATCACTATGTAATGACTGTAGATATCCAATTCATTGTCAACGAGAGCCCGTGATACAAGCCAAGACTGCCAAAGCCTCATGCTCCCTTCTTCGTTCGGAGGTTTGCCCACACCGGTTCATTTTTTCTGCTTAACCTTTCGGTATAGTGTGGAGCTCAGACGATCTTCTTCGCTTCCTTGTGAGTCCAAGGATGGCGTAGCCCTTACCTCCTCTGGGACCGGGATCATTGATGTACTGATAGGCGTTCTCACCTCGGGTGCTCAACGCATTTCGAGACCTCGAACTACTCGACTTTGGCCCTTGCTCAACAACTGGAGAGCTCAAAAGTCCACAAGTCTGGGATATCGAACGGTGAATTCGGGGCTTGGTTTGTCTACAATTACATCAAGTGGTACAAGAACGATTTCATTTTGAAATTCGAAGCAATTCTGACGTTGATAATTATCAGGGTATGATATGTGTGTACGCCTTCGCTTTGCTCGGAGGGCGCAGAGGACACTGAGCGCCATTGAAGATGGCTTCTATTTCGTAGGCTATTCATGATACTGCATGAATTTGGAAATCTTAAACTCTCAAGCACGGTTGGAGACAGCAGTAAAATCAGTTCTCCACTCGAAATGAAACCCAAAGTAGCACTGGGCGTTACCTGGTGACTTTCCAGTACGTATTCACCGCACCAAGCTTCCATGGTAAACGGAGTGCAGGAGCCGTATAAAAGCTCGACAAATTTACAGGATAGCCCCAGCTTACAACCCTCAGCTACAAATCCCCATTCTCAACATGCAAATCAGTGTTACTTCACTCCTCGTCACTCTCTCTGTCGCACTTGGGTAAGGCATTTAACATCAACAGCCCTCTGATACTGTCGTCTCTCTCGTCTCATCTCGAGCTAATCCTCCCTGTTACAGCGTCCTCGCCGGCCAGAACTGCAAGTGCCAGGCGTCCAATGGCCAAGGTCCCCAGTGGAACGGTCTGACCGACTACTGTTGCCGCGGAAACGGTGGTGCCAAGCACGGAACCGTTCGAACATGCCTTCTTCCCGGTACTGGGTACTTCCCTGGACCTAACAACCAGGTGAAATTTTGCTGAAACTCGGTCATCCTACACGACATACTGACAATGCCGTCCAGTGCTCTGCTGGTGGAACCAACTGCCTTGATTCTGGTGCCTTTGTTCGATGCTGCCAGGAGAATGGTGCCCCCAGCGCCTTTTGCTGGAACTGATTCTCAAGTCCATCAGGCTTTGAAACATACCAGCCTTTGAGTTACGTTGTTCGTTCTCCCACCATATACAAATAGCCAGTGATTGGATTGAAACGTCGATACCTTGATACTGCACGCCTTGCTATACCCAATCCAGTCACTGGGAATTTAAATCCTGTCTCCCAGAAGAGAGACGGCGCAGAGCTTGAGGCATGGAACCAAGTTTAATTAGACTGTACACTAAGCCCTTCCACGCGTATTGCTGTCGAGATCATATGCTCAGCGTCCATATTTCAGTGTTGAAAGGGGAGACATTCAACGAGCTCCTCCGGTGCACGTTGCCACGAAGCCTCTATCAAGTTTTCTTATAAACATATTTTACAATTCGTGCTTCAAGAATCATTAGCCCTACGTCCGTCAAGGGCTACAGTCGAGACTTACCCCCCCCACCCCCCCCCCCCCCCCCCCCCACCCCCTCCTCAATCAGGGACAAAATAAAGGGTAATCGATTAAGCCAATCCATGTACTGAGCGTGCAAAGGCTCTCTCTTTATGTATAGCTACAGAAGTATAGCTTAGACGATAAACCATATCGGTACAACGAGCATAGATTATGGTTCTCAGGAGGAGAGAATATGGCAAGGGCGGTATCATGGTAAGTTAAGAAAGCTCCGTCTTTTCTGGGTATACTCTATTTATCAGCTACTGGCTCATTCATCGTTGTAAATAGAGAAGTTCGAGAATCTCTGGTGGCACTCTATTACCAATTGTGGATAGTCAGACGTTCAAGCACACGCTATTGTCGTAGGTTAATTATCACAGCAGGTCGGTCGATCCATTCAACCAGTGCAAGCTCCGTCTGAGAAGGCCTCTGATTCCTTTACCAATATGAGGCTGGCTCCAACAATAACATATGCACATTTGAGGAATACCGGAACTCGAAGGCAAGAAGTAGCGTCTATACAAGACGAAATCCATCGCTTTGTCAAAGGGCTGAACCCTGTACAAACGTCCTTGGGGAAATGCGGAAACGATAGCCATTACACCATGTCTCACTATAGAAGCTGATACTACACACGGAGAAATGGATGCAATTTGCGTGCTCGCGGAGACACTCGGATCGTTTCCCGGCTCTCCTGGAATCACCTCAACCAGCGGCCAGGCATGCACCGTAATATCCGTGCCGGCTAGAATTTGCTTGGTTAAAGGCTGCAGAGGTATCTCCTCGTCTTAAGAATTACGAAGTCAAAGCAAATGCTTCCGAAACCAGTAGCCATACACTATCCGCTGGACCTGGCTCTTGGGCGCTTGTAGCCTGAATCGAACACACCTGGTGGCTCTGGCGGCTCGCCGTTTGTGAGAAAAAGGCCATTTTTGTCCATTAAAAGGAGTGAAGTCACAAATATGTCTCGGATCCAGGGAATCGAGTCCTTAGCTGCCCGCGCAGACTTCCTACGGTTACAATGAGAGACGGCTAATGGTAGCGTTTACGCCGTACCTAACCAGAGGTGTATAAGCGTCGCCCATTGAATTCGTCGATTCATCGGTTTGAGGGTTCTCTGGATACGAAGAAGTAGACAGGATGAACCTTACGTGGGCACCTTAAACCTAAATGTGTTCTTTTTGGCCCCTACAGCAGAGGCTCATGGAGAATAGAGCAGGACTTGTCTAGCGGGCAAATCACTTTGTAGAACGTTCCAATTGTAGTGGTGGAGAAGAGACGATGGTAGCGACCAAGGGCCCAGGACAGTATTATCAGCTATCGAAGGTGCAGAAAGGATTTTATAGTAGTATTCCGCTAATCGAGAAGTTGGTGAGGACGCCTTCATCCA